GACACACGTATCGGTACGCCGCCGGTAGATGACGCTGTCATCGAGATTCGTCTGTCGTCTATAGTTTTCGACCGTGTGTTCTTCTTCTTTGGCGACACATTTACGTTGCGATGCTTCAAATATCACGATCACTAACTCGATGGGTTGCCGGCTGCCAGCTAGACAACGTAGACCAATAATTAGCCGGAACCGTGTTTCGAGCTACGCGACACTGCACCGGTGATGTGTGCGTGCTGGGTTACATAAGGGGGTAGTTGGCGAACAACTTGTTACTTACTTGGTGTCGAGGTCAACCGTGATCACTGTGGCGGTTCCTCCAGGACGAGACTTTCCCATTGCACTCCGGGACGGTTGACCCCTGCGAGTATTCCTAACCGGAATAACTCGAACACATAATTTTTGGTAGCGGGACTGCGTTCGCGCCGTCCCTGAATAAATTATTTTGATCTCGTTTTCAGTGTCTTTATTATCTGTGCGAACTCTTGACTACTGAGTATTGCTCTCACTCACTGGTCAGTTTTCGCACGATAGTGAATGTTCCAACAAATAAATATATTTTCATAATAATTATCTGTATTTTTGTTAATTATTTTAATATTGAGATGCAGTGGCATTTGGAGGAATGGCTAGTTTTTTTCGGTTGTAGTCGGATAATAACATTCGAACGATAATGAATGTTTCACGAAGGACGTCGTCAATGCCGTAAAGGACGTAATTTCCCTAAAAACTTTTGTAGATGTTCCCCGGTAGTTGACGTCAACAATTTTTATCAGTTAAGTTGAAGAATGTTGTGATGCTAACTGATAAAATATATTCTTACAACAGCATGGCGATGTGACAATCATAAATCGTTTACACAATACCTAAAACTTTATTAAAAATATCATAAATAAACACCGAAAAACCAGCTGTTCAGTAATAATATGAAATTGTCTCTTAACATAGTTCGTATAATATGGATATACCTACAGGTTTTGAAGATTATTTTCAAGTATTTTTTTATAAAGTTTATTCTTCGGAACATTTTTATATATCAATTTTTTTTTTTTTCATTAAATTCGTGATTTTTAATAATTTAATACATTTCGAGGATAAGAATTGTGTACAATCAATGAATCATAATAATAATAATCAATTAAAGAATGCGATTTAGCCTGCTGATTAATTATATAAGTATTTTTCTCTTAAAAAATTATTAAAAATCACAAATTAAATGAAAATAAAAAGCCGACACATCAAAATTCTCAGAAAAATAAATTCTATAAATCGGCTATCTTCAAATTTTCCAAAAATAATAAGATCAAGTTGTTTTTTTAAGTTTTTTTATCAAAGTGTAAGAAATAAATTGCAATATAAATATGTGTAGTCCTTGCCCGGGACTATACATTTTTAGAAAAAAAGAGCTGATATTGAAGATGAGAGCGGCCACTGTTATAGATGAGAAGTTGGGAAGTTAAGATACATAAGGTTATTTCATTTATATCTGTAAGCAACAGTAAACTATTGCTTAACGAAAGACAATTCCGCGCGCAGTTTGGTTATATATAATTTTGTGATTTTAGTTTAAATTTGATTTCAAAAAACTGATTAAAAAACAAAAAGTCGTCCGATGATTTTGGAAATTCCACCACGTCTAAGTAAGTTTAATATAAGTATTTTTACCAAGTTTCAAGTCTCTACGTGTATTTATAACCGAATTACAGCAAAAAAAACTCCCAAGAATTATAAAAAAAAAATGATGTGTTTAAAAACTTTGAAGACTTGAAATAATTTAAAAAACCACTTACTGCAGAACTAACTTTAGCAACTGACAAACCTCAAACTTTCAGGAATTTTTTCTAAAGTTTCTATTACAGCATCAAACTTTTTTTTATACTGTGTTCAATGCTGTGGCATGAGACATCCACCTAGTAGTAGCTACTATTTTCTTAGAATGAATTTATTCTCCTTTATAAAGTTTATTCTGTTTTTCCCGAAAAATGCTTCCTTTCTTTTTACTACACCATAAGAACTAGTATAGGGTTACTAAATTTCTAAAAAGATTAAGTATATCTACACCTTTTGACGTTGCTGCTACACACAAATTTAGCCTATGGGTATGTCATTAAATAAATGTAGCCTGATTATTTTTTTTCTTTGATGTGAGCTTATAAAACTTCTTCTTTAGTTTTATCAGACATTTTAATCTCAATTAAGTGTTCAAAAATAATTCCTAAATTATTATTGACATATCTTATAATAAATGCAATTTGCTCTTTTCTAGATGTGTAATAAGTAGAACCAATTGATATGCTAAATAATTTTGCAAACAATATTTCTTATTTTATTTTATTAGAAATGTGTTCAGCTACGTTGGATATAAGCTGATTTTGTTTATTGTGCGATACAAATAAAAGTTTTTTTCATTTGTCATAGGTAAATAATAAACATATATTTTGGTGACACTGTCTATAACCCTTTAGGTAATAATAAATCGATAGAAAAAACCACTTATTCAATCAATATGAATTGATGTTGTTTTGTTGATGTTGCATAATATTACTTAACAAATATTTATTTCGAAATAGGTACCTGTCTATATATAATATTTAATATGCGGTGACTCGAATACTATTCGTATCGATAGATAAAACATTTTGATTTAATGCGTTGTGTTATATCAATATAATTATATTTTATATTATTAAATTCTTAATCGGATTGTTAAATAAACATTTCATACTATAGATATAACGTCACCTACCAGCAAGCATCGAAGTAAAATACTTAAATACATTTTTTATTTTCTAAAAGCGCTAAACCTACTTTCGCATTATACGCTCATTCGTAAATGTCGACATTTTTGAAAACAGCGATACAAATATTTATTGTAAGTCAATATTGTATTTGTATTTATATGTTTTCAAATCATCGCTATTTTTTATTTATTTTGTTTACATTACGTCAAAAATTAATAAACACCTTATTTACACACATGATTATCTATGTTATACTATTCTGTATAGTATTTTACAAAACACAGACTGACAGCAATAATGTTGTAATGCAGTTAAATTCGTATTATTTTCAGTATCGTACATTCCCTTGTAAACGATTTACGGGTTTAGGTACCTACCTCTATAACCTATAATATTAAATATTCGTAAGTAGGTACCTATCTATTTTGTTCTATCGTATTATTATTATTATTATTTAAAAATGATGACTATAAAACAATTTTGGAGCAATTATTGTGAAAATAGTTCGTTACATGGTCTCAGATTCGTCGTTCACGAAGAAGCGAAACCTTGGGAAAGGTATGGTGAAATTCGTTTATATATTTTCTTTTCAACTGACAATGATTTCAAACGAATTTCAAAAACAAACAAAAAAATCAAGGAAGTTAATTAATTCGTAATGGTCTCGTGGATACACTTTTTCGTATTTTTCACACATAACTCTTACAAAATATGCACCTAAAATGTATTCACTTTGTCCTGAACAGGTCTACCCTATTATCAGGTACATATCTGATATTATTCTTCAGGAGAGGTTGGTTTTTTCACTTATTTTTATAAACAGTCCAATATTCCTCAATAATTTAGTTTATTTTTTTTCTGTTCGTGAACAACTTTTTTACAGAAATCTAGTGCAAATCGTCAAGCTTAGAATGGTTTCTAGTAGCAAATATTATCTAGTAAATGTTTGGAGGGTCATTTTTTGAAATCCATTGTATTTTTTTTTTAATAATCAAGAAAACTAGACAAAAACGTCGGAAATTCGGGAATATTTATTATTATATTAATATTTGTATAATGAATTCAGTTAATCTAGCTTTTACATTATTAGTTAGTTAACATAATTATAAATAGCTGAAATGTCTACCTTGCCTCTGAAAACATTTTAGTTCGCCGCAACACTGTGCCTATACAATAATATAATGTATTATACTAATCAATAGTTATTTTGAAAGTTATTCTAATACTAGTATATTTTACTATAGATTAATGTGGGTAATATTGTTGTTGACCGCTAGTGTTTGTATTCTGATGAATGTGTATACTTCATGGACAATATATTCATGTTCATCCACACAAATAATTATAGACGATCCTCGATTTTCACTTAGTAAAATCGATTTTCCGGCAGTGACAATATGTTCCGTCAACAAAATCCTTTATTCAAAGGCTAAAGAACTGGTGTTAAAGTATGATTTTTTTTTTTTTTTTCAATATCTATCAATTGTGATTACCTGCAATTTTAATATTAATTGGTTATTATCTACGATTTAAATTGTTTTTGACAGCATACATTTATAAAGCATTTAAGAACTTACACGTATTTATTGTTTTCGAAATTGAATAAGTTTTTAATTTAGGAAATACGAACACGATCCAGAATTAAGAAAAAAATACGAAAACTCACTATACGTTTTGGGATTGTTACAATACCGGCACTACAGAGATCTGTCACTTTTCGTCGAAAATAATTCTATGATTAATTTACCGTTGAAAAACATCACCGACCTGATGTTGACAGTAATAATACGAATATTTTCTAATCGCACATTAGGAAAAAAAATTACTTATCACAATAATTGAACCTTCGTTGCCTTGATACAACAACCAGATAACTCCACTTTTTTCGAAAATGCTCCTTTTAGAATACCTAATCTAAAGAAAAAAACGTTACATATTGAATATTTGTTTAGGTGCAACAATCAGATGAATTCGATATATAGGTATAATATTGTGAAAATTAAATATAGTTTTTATCAGGAATTATTGGAGTTGTTTTATTTTAGAATAATTTTGGTAATTTCGGTATTTTCAATATAATACAAATACAATTAGATGGGTATGCTCTGGAATACATTTTGGTACAACAATATCAAATGAATATGAACAAATTGTATTTTCCAATGCTCCTGAAAATTTCAAATCTGGTTGTCGCTCCGAGGTTTTAAATTAAGTACTTACCTACTTAAAGCACAAAATATAATACACATAATAGATATTTTAATATTTTATCATATTTATATACCTGATTTCTATATGGATGGAATGTTAAAGTAAAAAAGACGGACATACTTCGCACGTGAGTGGGCTACTGTTATAGGTGGGAAATTTAATATATAATTGTAAGCAACGAAAAAACGATTCTAAGCGGAGTTCAGTTGATAATGTTGCTTTATCAACAAAATCTATGTCATATTATGGTAAAATAATTACATAGGCATTAATTACATTTAATAATATTTGTTTAATATTTACCTATTTCCCCGTTTTTCGTATATTTTCCCGGGTTTCCCATTTTTTTCCCGGTTTTTCTTATTTATTGGAAAAACTCCTGGGAAAATCAAAAACTTATCTCCTCAAAGTACCTCTTCAATCAGATTTACTTTCAGAAAAAGTGCTATAATTGTAAATCAGAGCAAAATTACTGGTAGAAAAGTTGTCCACAAAAAAAAAAATAATAAACATCATTGTAAAACCATAAGCTCCTTTGCTCCACTCAGAATAAAAAATGTTTTTATAAGTACTGCTCACAGATAGGCCACTATTATAGGTAGACAGTTAATACGGTAGAATATACAGAATAATTTAGTTTATATATTTTATTCAAATATAAATGGTCACATGTTAACTACTACACGAATATTCTTTTTACTTGAATTTAAAATATAGTATAATCTCCTACACAGGATGTTTTTAAATTTGAAATAGATAACGCCTATTGCATGTTACGATCTTATAAAAAAGTTTTTACATACTTCGAGTAAGAATTTTGTGTATAATATATTTTAAATTTAATATTGAATATGTATCATGACTAGAGACCGGATTCATGTGCATATAAAATCATGAAAACGCACATAAAAAATGTTTAAAAAGCAAAAATAGTAGAGGAGTTTAAAAGTCCCAGACTCTTAAATTATTTTATTATTATTATTTCTTTTTTTGCACAAAAATTTCCGATGCTTGGTTATAAGTAAACTTTGCTATAAATTATAATATTAAATATGCAAAAAAAATATCATTAGATGATTTGTACATAAATCGTCGAATTTCCGAACCGATCACATAATTATTGTAGGTATTATTTTATCTCAATTGCCATAACACGTGTTTCTTCAGTTAATGCCCACTATAGACGAAGTGTTCGAAAGCTGTTACTGGAGGGGTACCGGATACAACTGTTCTGACATAATACGACTGCAACGTACGGAAGAAGGATTTTGCTATTCGTTCAACAGCAAAACGTCCGAGAGGACGACAAAGTAAATCTCAATACCTATTCGATATTATTTGATTTATATGTCGAGGAGAGACAGGTGGACAATACGTACCTAATAATATAATATATTCTAATTGCATGCATAAACAAACAATTACCTACATATTGTTATTTTTCCCGTGTATAGTGACAGCGATATTAATCCACCCATAGCTGGACCGAACGGCATGCTGATACCGCTCAGAAACAATGCCGCAGGAATGATGACTGGGTTTGAGGTGATCCTGAAGAGTTTGATCACTGAATACTTTCCGAAGGATAAGAGATCGAAAGGATTCAACGTACGATTATCCGAAATATTTTTACAAAATTCACAGGAGAAGGACATTTATTTGTTTATTGTTAATTTAAAAATTGTTTCTTAATTATAGCCGTTTTAATTTCTAGAAAATAGGCGTGAAATCAATTAATATTCAATAGAACATTAATTGTTTTCACGTTTAATTAAAACGTTTGTAACTAAGAAATTATTTATCGGATATGAATGCGTGATATACATTAAAATTTATTGAATAATATTTTTTACAAAATGGCTACCTAGATTGAAATTTTTTTAAAGTGGATAAATAGTCATTTTTTTTTTGTCTTTAGGGGATGAAAATAAAAATTTAATTTTTCTCCAAATCAATATTCCCCTCGAAGACAAAACGATTGAACAAAAAATTTAGGAAATTTAATATTAACAGCGCAAGAAAAATCCGTCGAACACAATGGGACACAATGTATAGGTATAGGCAATAGGAGACCTTTTGTCGTTGAAAGTGTTAAGTCGAAAATGTACCTGTTAGATGTATACAAATATTAAATATGTAGTATAATAAATCGTTGCGAACAAAGTGCGAATCCTAATTGAGCTGGGTGTGGTTAAACGTGCTAAATATTGAAATTTCATATTTTATTATTTATTAAATGCAATACAATAATTTATAGCTACATATTGTTTGCGATTTTTACGAGTCCCGTCAAAATTTGATCTCTGGAAGAGTATAAAAAAAAAAACGGGACATTAATATTAATCGTTGTAGATAATGATACATACGCCGGAAGACTTTCCGGATATTTCGAATAGCTACAAGCTGTTTAGCGAACTGAATCAATCGTCGCGAATATCAGTGAGCGTGAGTCACATTATGGCGGACGAGTCGCTCCGTTGGCTTACCGAAAAGGATCGCAAGTGTTTCTTGTACCAGAGAAAATCGGTCAGAAAAACAAACTTGCCGTCCTACCGGAGCAACGCTTTGGACAATTGTTACGCCAAATGTAGGCTGGAAACCACCTATAAAATGTGCAATTGCACGCCATACTTTTTTGAAGTGAGAGGTAATCAGATAGATAAGAATATTAAATAGTTTAGTAGGTACGTATCGGCTACCAGAAAATTAGAATTTTTTTTCCATCAAGTACAACTTATAATGAATCTCAATTTAAATTTTCAAGCATTTCTGTTTGGTCAAATAATTTTATCCATAGAGTACCTACTAAATAAAATTGTGTAAAAACTAACAAAATTAAAATGTCTATAAATAGCTTAAAAATAGCTCAAAATGTTTTAAAAATTGTATCTTGTCTAGAAAAGGCAAATATAAGTTTTCTGTCAAAATTTCAAGTTTCTAAAAATATATTCCATTGAATAACAACAAAAAAAACAAAATTGAAAATAATAAAAACATTATTTTTGTACAATTTCTCCGTTCTTTCTACGCTTTTTTTTCGGTAATACTCTATTATTAAAAAAACTACACGGAAAATCAAAAAACGAATTTCTTAATTGCAAATTGCATTAAAAATGCAACCAAAAAAGTATCTTGTTGTTTTTCTATTAGAGCAATATTTCTGGTACAGTGGTACCCAGTAAACATCAGCCGTAAACATTTTAAATAAAAGAATATTAACGCTGTAAATGTATCAGTTTGCAGTTTTCATCTTCTTCCGGTTTTCCCAATTCTTATGAAATACTCTTTGGAAAATCATAAAATGACTTTCTCAATACACCAATTTGATAAAATTTCCTTTTAAAAAAAATGCTGAACTTGATAATTCAGAGCAATATTTATAGTAAACAAGTTGTTTACAGACACAAGGAAAAAAAAATACAAAATACAAAAACACACATTATAGTAAAACTATAATGGATCTCTCGCTACACTTCGAATCTAAAATACACATATCTCAGAAGCCAGGAGGACATGTTCTTCCTTACCTTCCCTCAATAGATACTCGTTTTGTGCGTTGTATCCATGTCGTAAATTAGTTCTAACATTGATCGTATTCCAATAATAATTCTATTCTTTATCTTATATTCTTCTAGTCTTATTCTATCAATATCGAGTATCAGTGCACTGCAATAATGGTGTATAAAAGATCAATTTTAGGTAGGTAAAATAATATTTTGTTAAATATTTGTTTTGTAGAAAACGTCCAAGATTGCGGAATCGAACATATACAATGTTTGAGCAAAATTGACGGTATGATTTTTATAATAATTACCTACGATAGTCGATAGTTAATAATTAGCTATACGAGTATTAAAACTTGCCTTGTTACATATTAAAGTCCATAGTCATAGATGTAACTACTGTAACTACTAAGATTTCTAAGTCACAATAATAATTAGGAGTTAGTGCTTGAACCCACTTACGGATCCAAGGGATTATGGGACGAATTCCCGCCACCTTTGCTAAATATGAGAATGAATATAGGTACATATCCATTTCGTAATATCATAGACCGTCCATAAAGATAATATAAATCCTTGTATATATTATATAGATAACATAAACAAATAGTTCTAACATTGATACTGGCCTTTTCTATATTTTAAGTCTGTATAACTTATTTGTAATTGTAAATATTCTCAAATACTTTTTTGTTATCTATAATGTTCCTAATGTATATTGCCATTATGCGTTAATTTCCAAAAATATATAAAAAAATAAACCTACAGAGATCTTTATTGGTCTAAGATTATTATGAAGATTATATATGAATTATACGTCTTATATCTACCTCTAAAAATTTAAATATTGTTGCTAAAATTTTTTTTTAAAAGCGTTTTAAATACTTTCCAAGTTTTTTCAGGGATATTTTAATGTTTTAAAGCACCTTTTTTTTTTTTTATACAAAATTGAATGCAATAAGTTCCGAGTCTTAATTATTACCATTTGAGTTATTTCATCATTTATCATTTAAGTTAGGTAATCGGTGTTGTCACATTTAAAAAAAATATTATTATTATTATTATTATTATTTAAATAATATTATGGTGGTTGCCGATTAAAATTAATTATAATTGTAAATAATTAAAAATTATTTGACTATACTAAAATTATGAATTATACGTCCTATATCTACCTCTACAAATTTTAATATTGTTGCAGCTATAATAGTGACTGACTACCAATATTTACCCACTCGAATTCTATAAATAAAATAAGACACAATTCTCTATAATATTTTAAAAAAATAAACTTCCTTTCCAGTGATAGAAGTTAATTTTCCATTTATATAATTTATTTACTAGGTTGAAATAACAGTAAACGGTAATGACACGAAAAATAAAAAAAAAAATTATGTATCATGTCGAAACGTCTGTTCCGCTTTATTGGTTTAGTTACATTGTTGATACGATGCTAGTAATACCTAATAATTATATATAATTGTTCATAAAACCAAGCAAACCGAATAAATAACATTATAATTATATTATTATTTTAATTTTTAGTGCTTATACGCAATGTCCAGGCACCAGAACGAGAACCAGGGTTTCCCAAATGGAGTATGCCGGTTTTCATGAACTGTAGTTGTCCGAGCCCCTGTTCGTTTATTGGATATAGGACGGAACTCAGGAATTTTCCGCAGTATGAAATTAATATTTCCGTTTGCATCGAAACTATAAGATTAACCATTTCTTTTTTATATAAGATTTATAAGTTAGATTGGATCACCTAATTTTTAATTATACTGCACACTATAGAATTTAATTATATGTACAATACCATCATCAATTTAAACATACTTAGACATATAATCCACTTGATGCATATTTGTAATAAATTAAACTATTATAATTAGAAAATCCGACAATTTAATAAGTAGGTATAACAATGTACATTTTTTTAAACAAAAATTTTCTATAGGGATTTCATAGATAACTCAGCTCTTCCACATACATACATGCATATTGACATACATTACAAACAACGATTTGCAATTAGTTACCAGCGTTTTTTGAAAT